CTCTCTCTCTCTCTCTCTCTCTCTCTTTCTCTCTCAAAAATTATTAATTTTAGTTATTAGTAATTATTAATTATCAGTTTTTCTTTACCAGTATCTATAAAGGAGCTTTCCCGACAAAATGTTGATAACATGGTCAAACAAGATATTACAAACGATCGCAGTAAAATAATTACACTAAACTGTCCATTAAATAATTTCAACGAGAATTTATGAATCTTATGAAACGAACGGATACCGTATTTAAATTGGAAATTGAACTAACGATAAATCATTCATATAAAAAGATCGTTGTTATGTAAATATAATAGATTTATTAGATATTAACAATTTTTTACAGCATTTGTGTTTCATTTATTTTAAACAACGCGTAACTATGAGTAAAAAGTCTTAACACTCTTATCAATGAATCGACAATGCGGATAATTTTCCAACAAATTGTATACTAAACAAAACAGAAACGATACAGTCAAGTTGTTCGCCATACGACTAGGAAATTTAATCGATCAAATCCCACAATTTTTCTTCGCCATTGAATATCATTCATTCGCAATGAATGCGAATAAACAAATTCAACAAATCTGGCGTAAAAAATTTAAAATAAATCCGCATTAAGTACAGTATTTTTCAACTAGTAAATAATCGGAAGTACCTTCATATTTAGCATTTCGCATAATTTATAATGTAATTATCTCTATTTCTCAAACAAAAGATTCTTTAAATAAAAGAGATTCCGGTCGATATACTTGCTTTATGAAAAGTTGATGTAATTTATGAAACTGCTCTTCGTTTTAATTTGGTACTTAACGAATTATCATAATCCGCTTTGTTAAATAATCGGAAAGTTAAATAATGTATGAATAATCGAAGAACAATTTCATACCAACGATATAGTTCTGTAGCAAACATCTACCATTGGTCGAGTATCGTTAAAAATAAAAAAATAATATAAGCAAACACGCAGTTATAAATAAAAAGATCTTATTATACAATAGTTTTACGTGAGTCTTTCTCCCATACATATACATATTTAAGTTCACGGACCGATCACATGTACACGTTTCATCACTCGCTCGCATACATCTTTCATAAATTTATTGCTTTATAATTAATCCTTATTACTATATTGGACGGTACGATGACTCATAACTGTTATACATCTTCATCAGATTTGTTGAATGGAAATTTGTATTATTGTTTTATAAGTACTGAATGAGAATTCATTAATCATGTTGCGCGAAAAATGAAATCTACTGGTCAATATTATCGCAGAAGACGATGAACTATTGCACAGGATAGATTCGATGTAAATAACCTTTCACATCGATGCCAAATAATATTTATAATGATAGTGATCTATGCATTTGTTTGTATTCACACGTAAAAATTTCGAAGAATTTTATTTCAGTGACAAATTTATTTTGCTGTCCCAAGTGTATACTTCATTGTCTTTACAAATTCGCAACAGACAAACATTTTATATAACTTAAACGTAAATATTCTCAAGATGCGCAATTTCACTATCGCTATCCTGAGAATATTATATATTAGACTTTTGACGACACGCATTTAAACGCTTTGATCTCTTGACGTTGCTTTTCAATTATATCACGCTCGATGACATGGATCGAACAATGCAGAATTTTCGAACAGTTGCATTTTCGAAACAAAAGGCATAAATCACATTAAAATCGTGTTGTGTGGCGAAATTGATGGCAATTGTGCCACGCTAGATAGTGTCGATGGTCTAAATAATAAAACCGGTAAAATAATAGTTTTGGACACGCCGCGTCGCACTATATCGACACGGATTTCGCAAAATCGCAATTACTCACGATGCGCGATGGGTAACGTTGAAAGCTTTTCGCAGAGAAAAGTTCGTCAGTTTTTGCTTGTCGTTGATAATAAGTATTTCCGACCTGGTTTCGCCGCGATACATGTGTCGTTCTATTCATTGCAGAAATTCGATCGAGAGTTCGTCACGCAGAATAAATTCTTGCGCTTGTTTCGAAATGCACTGATATCTGCTTTCGGTTCGGTTCAATTCTATTCGGTCGTTGCGTAGTGTCTTGCAAACCAACTTCAAGCAATTCTCGCGTAAGAGAAACGTAATCTCAAAAATATGTTGTCAACTAGTTTGATAATTCGATACCATAAAAAAAAAAAATTTCAGTCATGCCAGGCACAGAAGAATCCTCATTATCAGGCGACACATATTACGGAGTGGGAAATTCAACAAAAGTTGAATTTCTGTTTATTAATTTATTTGTAGTTTCACGAGCAATTTTCTTTATAACTCCGTGGTAGTTTCCACCGGGCTCTGTTCACCCAAGTACGTGAATCCTAGATGAGAATAATCCCTTTTTTCTCTAAATGTGACGTTATCGTTCGATGGACTAGGGCTGAGTAGATCGTTACCGTGGTTGTATAGTGGATTCAATACGGGCGTCGGATCGTGATTGTTCAACGTGTTTGCATTACTGTTATTATGGTTCTTTCTGCCGAGGGTCGATCGTCGTAACGAATGAATGTTCGTATCTGCATGGGTTCCAACTATGCTCGAAGCACGTGCCGTGGTCGCTGCCTCAGAACTTACGGGGCTTTGTTGTCCTAAACAGATAATAATGCGCGCTTGTAATCTCTTGTTTCGCTGATCATTTCTCCAAGGACTCGCAGCAGCTTTGACGACTATATTTCCTCCAAGAAAAAAACCATACTTTACAGAAAAACGACATTTCAACTATAAAATAATTAGACGTCAACTAAAGAATATTAGATTTGGTTACCGTTATAAAATTCAATATTCTACTGTTCGAAACATTTATAAGCCTCGATTTTGAAACATTTATACAGATAAAATAGATGCTAGAAATGAAATAATTTTTACGTAAAATTATTCGATATCTATTTAAAGCATAAAATTGGTGTAGTATATTGTATTACTGCGCTCTTATCTTTAACCTTGTTTCTTCACCTTATCTATTTAAAATAGAACAGAACTTTTTATTGTAAAAGGTAGGTTTTAAGTACATTATTTCTTATATTTTTCATACTTAATGATATATGTATCTACATTATACTTATAAATGAATTACAAGGAACAATGCATTTGACAAAAGCATTTTTCGATTCGATATTATCCGTAGAAAATAATTAATTATTTACTATAAAATCATTCTATTCAGTTATGAATAAATATAGATTGCGATTAATTGTCTGAATGTAATTCAAAAGTTTATTTTTATTATATCAATTATGAATAATGCTAGGAGGGCGACAACTTTCAGAAATAGAGCAGCATTTGCAACGTGATGTCGCAGTGAGAAATTGCAAACCCAAAAGAAATTTATAGATAAAATAAACGATCTGAGAGAATCAAAATTTCGCAAAAAACGTCGTAAATAATACTTAATTTGCAACTATAATTCCAACGCAATTTAAGCTTAATTATTGCCAGAGTATTAATGTCTAAGCAAAACAGACGTAAATACGTTAAATATTTGAAAATATCGTTTCTTAGAAAAAATCAAATCTATAGTTATTCACACCACTGTATAATTATAATAAAATGTATGAATTACCAGTACTTTCTCCATGATCTTTGGTAATGTAGCTAACATTGTCCAAGCTGAACGCATGATTCTTATTGCTGAAATCGAGCTGAAGATCATTATAACTATCATTGTCGTCGACAGGCACACTCATTTGAAGCACTTGTGTTTCGTACTCTTTCAAATTCGGTTCTACGTACACGGGATCGTAACGAGGCACAACGTACATTCGTTGCATCCGTTCTTTGTACGCCTTGTATCTATATACAAAGAAAGAAAATAGAATATTTACATAGCAAATAATATTCACGAGGTTCGTTAACTGCAACGTTACGTAAAAACTGAATCAATGATTCCATCTAATGTGTTGAATGTTTTCAAGAGATAACCATACCGGAAAACATAATTAATTCTAATGGATGTAATAAAGAGAACGATGAGTTTGCACGGTATGCAGAACTCGACGCTCGAATGAATACTCATTACGACACTTGAAAATGTTTCTTTCACACGATATTACCTAACACGACAATTACGTTTAAAAATTGGCGCGTCGAATCACCAACTCTTTTCAAGCAAACCATCAAAACATATGTTTCGTTCACATCATCAGTTGAATATCTAATGTTTTTTTTTTTTTCTGTTAAGACGATTGGTAGATTAAGAAAAAAAAAAAAGGGAAATTAAGTTCAACAATAGAGTCATATATTTTTAGAATGAAAACAGGCCAAACTTACCTCGACCAGGAGATGCAAATATAGATAATTCCAGCTATACCTAGGATTAGTATGACACACGCGATGATTATCAAGGCGTATGGAAATACTTCGCCGCTGAAAGCGATAGCGGTTTGCGTGCGTACTGGCTCGGACGGCATTACTGGCGCGTGAATGTCTATCGCATTCGCTCGAACCAACGTCGATACGTCGAACGTAATGTTTGACATAGCCATCTTTTCGATAATCGATCTGCAATAGAACCACACATGTCAGAATTTGAGGGAAATATAAAAGCCTCAAATCGTTGATTCACGATTACCTATGTACCTAGATACATATACAGCCATATAAAATTATTACGTATGTACTATGACTATAAACTTTTTGTCGAAAGTTGCTTGAGCGAGAGATTAAAAAGAAACAAATAACAATAATATTGTTTTTTTCACGAATAATATCAATAGAAAAAAGCTGTAGTACTCTTTGTACAGCGATAAATAGTTTAATTTACCATTAAAAGAAAATTGGAAAAGTTCTATTCTAAATTGAAGACATCTTTGATTATGATAATTATTTTTATTGATCCTTTCAAAAGACTTTCGCATTGGAATTACGAATAATAATATGACTAAGCACGAATCACTTACCTCTGTATACGGGAATTGTTCCTGTCTAAAATAGATTCTGTGTCTGGATCAATCGCGTAGAACCACACATCGGAATCTTGAGGATACATTTCGATAGTTCCATTTTTCGTCAAATTTTTCCTCACAGCTACTCTGTCGATACCGATCAGAAGACCGCTTTTCTCCTCGATGATGTCACCAATCTTGGACGCTTCCTTTTGTAAGACGTCTGGTGGCGCGTCCTGTACTACCAAAATCATTAGATTCTCCTCTCCGATCAAATTCACTATAACCGGAGCTACGATAGAGTTAAAGTTGTCAGTCGAATTAGGATTGTCTCGAACTCGAACGTCGAACTTAAATGGAAGTTCGGATAAATCCACGTTATCGAACGTCGCAGTGGTTCTAATTATTCCAGAAGAGCTGTCCAAGGCAAAATAGTTCGATCCACGTCCACCAAGTATTTTATACTCGAGCTTCCCATACTTTCCGTTGTCCTTATCGTGTGCTTTCACTTGTATAACCGTCGACGCAAATTGTGCTGATCGCGGAATTGCGGCGAAGTAACGTCCTCGTGATAATTTTGGACTACTATCCGGAAAAACGAATTCGGGTTTATTGTCGTTTATGTCGAGCACTTGGATTTTCACCTGTAATTTAAAAAAAAAAGACACTTTATTACAGTGTATGTATGATATGATTAAATATTTTATATTTTGAAACTAATAATGTTTCTGATCTTTAGATTTAAAGTATGTTTCTAATTATATACTGTATATTTTCTTTTTTTTTTCTTTGTACAAAATTCTAATCACTAGTTGCATAATGCTATATGTACTAATAAAGTTATTATACTGCATTAGATTTATATCATGTAGATGCTTTCTAAACTTAATTTTTCCTCCGTTATTTACATATTTGATTTAGAATCAACGTTAGTAGCAATGAAAAATTAAAGACGATTGCCTTCTTGATAGATGATATTTCAAACTTTTGGAACTTTCTGAAAAAAAGAACATACAACAATCATTTTAAAGCACAAAGTCTAAACTTTGATAATGTTAATGTTGCTTGAAAAGAACGATTTTTATATAGTAGCTGTGGAAATAAAAATTCAAACGTTTCTAAAAAAAATTTCTTTCACCAGTTTATTGAACTTTGAATATCAGAGTTGAATTTTTATCCCAATATTAACCCTAAGAAAAGAAATCCTTGTTTTCTTTTATACTATTTCTCTTATTTACTATAAAAAATGAATTCAGCACTATCAAAATATGAGCTTTACACTTTTTAACGAGCCTAACAAAATTACTGTACGTTTTCTTTTCATGAAGTATATACAACAGTTTAGAATATCATTTATGAAAAAAAAAACATTTTAATTTTTGATCGCTACTCTGTATATACGTACCATGGTCGTATTTCTGCCGGAATTTAATAGACCTGATAAAGATTCCAATTTAAGCTGCACTTGATACGATTCCGTTGTTTCGTAATCCAATACTCCTTTCTTGAGTCTAAGTGCACAATTTCGTTCCTCCGTAACATTCGCTTCGAACAATTCGTTCTTGTTGCCACTATAAATTTCGCATTTTAGCGGCGTAGTATCGTGTGCATGACTATTTATAACCGTGATTATTTTGATTAGCGTATTGTCGCCAGCATCTTCCGGTACTTCGACGTTGTAGGAATTTTCTGCGAAACCTAAACCGATCTCTGGCGGCACCGTAGCCACATGCCGAACATAAATTGGCACTGTCGTGACAGACGATAATTGCGGCTCTCCCATGTCGTACGCGCGCACATCAACCTTAAACATTAATAATTTCTCAATTATATATTATTCAATAGTAGAATATTCAGTAGTTTATACATTGTCTTTTTCATTTTACGATAGACATTTTAGACGAAGAAACTATGTGACAAAAACGATTTAAAATTCTAACATTTAAAACATATATATACCTGATACTCGGTGTCCGTTTCTTTACGCAAATCATCTCGTATTCTAAGTACGCCAGTGTCTGGATCAATCACAAAGTACTTATTCGCTATTCCACGGCCGATAATTTCGTATCTCACCTATAAACCGACAAACAATAATGATTTCAATCAACAATCATCTGCCGATTAGCAAGCAATTTCTTGCAAATAATTGCAATTTCTTTTCTTTCTTCTTTTGTATATAATAATGAAATTACTTTAAAATGAAGAAAATTATATACGTATATGTACAGGATGATTCTTAAATGCATGTCCATATTTTAAGAGATGCATTTATGCATTAAAATACATAAAAAATATCATATAAATATATTTTACATATTTTAGTTTTCAATATATCTTAGTTCTCTAGATAATTAAAATTCGATATTCAATTATATCTTCAGCAAATTTAATATGCCATTGTATATGCCTTAGCATTTTGAATTACGCACTTGAAAATATTTTTTGAACAGTGTGACATCCATTTTGAATTTTTTTTCTCGTAAATCGTGCAAATTATTCAGCACAATCAATTTTAAATTTCACCCATTAAAATAAATAATATTTCCAATCATTCCATTGGAATAAAATCTCAATGGATCGAGTTTCGTTTAATTTATATTGCTATATAAAGATACTTCTTATAAACATTGAATAAGATTTTGTACGATGTACAATAGCATGTACTGAAGCACAAGATGAACAGATTGAACATTTCAAAGATTTTTATAATTCGAAAACTAGTTATGCAAGATAATTCATATAACATTTTTTATTTATTTTAGTGTATAGATTCATTATCCAAAGTATAAACATGCATTTAAGAATTACTCTGTATTTAATTAGATAAAATATGAATATATAAATTTCTTTATAAAAAACTTATCTTTCGTAAAGATATTTATATAAATGAAAAATATTACTAAGTCGTCGTTATTCTACTACTTAAAGATTAACTACATTAATTACATACTTGATTTCCGGGAGCAGTGCCATCAGAGTCTGTCGCTATAAGATTAATGATCGTTGTGCCAATGGGAACATCATCATCTAACGTAATCGGACGAGGAACTGATGTAAATACTGGTGGAATGTCGTTAACGTCCTAGTGCATAAGGAATAACAAAAGTATATAATACTATTCAGAAAATATCTCGAAATAAACAATTCAATTAATCTGCGATATTAAAATAGAACTGTGATATTGTACAACATGAGGAGGCATAAATATAAGCATATTTGGCAAAATTACATGACACATTGATTGATTTGACATGAGCAATTGAATTGCCCGTGCAACATGGCAAAATAAAAGTTTTTCATTTTAAAGAAGCTAGTCTTGAAGCATATTAAAAAGTTTTATATATACAGAAAATTAAAATAAAAAGATATGTTGCGTATAGAGAAAAAGATATTCTTACTTTTCAACAAATTTTTGAAACAAACAAACTCAAGACAAGCTTTAAAATGGATTGTTATGATTTTTTTTTTTTACAAAATAATAACAGTTTAAAATGGACAATTTCATTCTTGATTATGCTCTTTCAGTTTTCTGTCAAACGTTTTTCTCTTATTTATTAAACTATTAATCTCTCTTACTATTAATCTCTCAATAATAGTAAAATTTCATCAAAATATAATAGCGTATAAGAAAATGTCCATGTAGCTTGTATTTATGAAATAATAATGATTTTTCAGTCAAAGGAAAATTGCAACGATCAATACCTGAACATTAATCACAACTTTCGTAGTAGAACCAAGCAAATTGCTAGTGTTTTCAACAGTGCCAATTATGAGAATATACTGATTCTCCTTTTCATAGTCCAAACCGCGAATGGTTTTTATTATCCCAGTCTTTGGATCTATGCGGAACACTTCAGTATCTCCTTGTTTGATTATGTACGTGATTTGTTTCTTCGTGTCCGGATCATCAGCCTGGAATTAATCGCAGAGATTAATAGAAAAGAAGTTTGAGATTCTATAGATTCCAATAATAACGGAAAATATTATCCATCTAAATGATTAAAAGTTATGAGTAATTTAAAATGTTTTTGAAAAATTATGTTTCTTTTATCGATTATTACATTATGCTTATCAAAAAACACGGCGGATCAATGAATCATTAGTTTCGATAAGAAATCACGTCATTTAAACTTCCTTATTATATCTAATAATTTTAACTCACTGTTACTTGAAGCACCGTGTAATCTGGTATATTCTCTTTAATTCGAGCCTCATAGCTACTTTGATGGAAAATAGGAACCTCGTCTTCAATATCGATAACTTTCACCGTGACCGTAGCAGTGGCTAAACGGTAATCAGGAGCACCATCTCTTGCGGTTACCACAAATTTATATTCCTGAAGAAGAAAGCATTTTATTTCCTGGTAACTAAGCTTTGCATATGTATTCTTATTTTACCACGTACTTCACAACCAACGAATTCTTGAAATTCTTAATATCGCTAATAATGTAAAAATTAAACGGACACTTACATCGTTCTGTTCGTAGTCCAAAACGATTTTCGTCAGCACATCTCCAGTTTCGGGATCCACAGTGAAAGGTATATCGTCAGGCGCGAAATATGTGATTTCTGCGTTGATGCCTTCATCGGCATCTTCAGCGTGTACTCGACCTATCAGCTTCCTTGCTTCTCCTTCTTTCACGGTGAATTCGTAAGGTAAGTTGACGAATTCTGGATTCTTGTCGTTTATGTCTGTTACTTTGATGTTTACCGTGGCTGTGTTGAATAAACCTCCAGAATCCTCAGCCTTTATTAACTATCGTGAAGAAAAGGAAAAAAATCTTATTGTTAGTCAAATAAGCCTATGCGTATCACGCGAGTTTAATTAAAGATAATTTCTTTTTTTTTTTTTTTGTAGCAAACAAGAAGACAGAGGTGTTGGTAACTGTGTTTAAACAGTAGACAAACATAGACTTACCAGCTGATAACGAGTCAGGTCTTCTCTGTCTAACTTTCTTATAACGGTGATCACGCCTGATTTGTCACCGATTGCAAATTGACGCAAGTCGTTTCCTGAGACGATCGAGTACGATACTGGATCGTTTTCTGGGTCAACTGCCTGTTAAATAGAATTATACGTTCGTTTTTTTAAACAAAAAAAGTATTAGGTTGTAACATAAATTCGTCCTGCTATTTAATTGATCAGTTCAAACTCAGGAATATATCTTGAAGTAATTATGACTAATCTCTCATATTGTTAGATAACGGTTACCATGGATTAATACCTTAATCTCATCAGAGTCTGTAGTGATAGAAGACGTTCGACATGAATTTGTCAAATAAAAATTTCTATCCTTAAATTTTCAAAACCGCAATTTCCAACAAGTTGAGTCGTTTATAGCAGTATTGCTGTACATATTTTTCTTATTTTTTTAAAGGTTTGTGAAGCGTTTTTATCTTCTCTAATTGAAAGAAAAGCATTATCTGCCAAAAATGTTTTTTATTTCTTGACATTCTATAAAAAACTTTAAGTACTTTTACCGAAATACGTCACTGAAATAACTACTGAAATTTAATCATTGAAATAATGTAATACAACACTTAACTTGTGTGAAGTTGTTAACGAATCAAATAAACAATATCATGCTGTCAACTATTTATGTTACAATTCAATACATAATGATTCAATCTATTTCAATCGAAAATCAAACGCAAAAATAAATATTAATAAATTAATGAAAGAAGGACGATTACATTTCTCGTTTAATCATACAATCACCAATTCTATTCTATTTAGCATTTTTATCGATAAAATCGCCACTTCAATATTACGATTATCTTTCTCTCTCTCCCTCTCTCTCTCTCTCTCTCTCTTGACAATATTTACGAGTTAGCGCAAAACTTGAACGTTAAAAGTAATTACGAACACTTACGGTAATCGTTGCAACCGTGGAATTAATTGACGCTCCCTCGCTGACTTGCACTTCGTATACCGGTTGTTGGAAAACCGGGCTCCTAGTATTCGGTCCAGGAATCACGTTCACCTCGACGATCGTCTGCGAATATTTTCCACCTTTGTCAGTTGCTTGGACAGTAATGCTGAATTGCTCGCCTGCGTTCAACTTCCTCACAGATTCGATTACGCCGGTCTTCGGATCGATTTTAAATTTATGCAGTCCATTATTCGACACGTGATAAATGCTATATGTTATTTCGGCATTTTCTCCTTCGTCATTGTCCGTTGCCTCGACCTGGTTTCAACGTCGGTGAAATTTTTTCAAGTGTATA